AATTTATTTTATAATTTACGTAAATAGTTTTTGGCTACTTTCTCTTATTCATTCCAATTTCTTCGTGTAAATGTAATTCACGGTTTTCATCTTTTTATTTTACGATGTCTCTTGTGATCTCAATTTATATTATAATAATTTCCGACATATGATGAGTGTGGCCAGTTGTGGCCCTCCCTGCACCTTGTGTGGCCTGTTGTGGCCCTCCCTGCACCTTGTGTGGCCTGTTGTGGCCCTCCCTGCACCTTGTGTGGCCAGTTGTGGCCCTCCCTGCACCTTGTGTGGCCTGTTGTGGCCCTCCCTGCACCTTGTGTGGCCTGTTGTGGCCCTCCCTGCACCTTGTGTGACCAGTTGTGGCCCTCCCTGCACCTTGTGTGGCCAGTTGTGGCCCTCCCTGCACCTTGTGTGGCCTGTTGTGGCCCTCCCTGCACCTTGTGTGACCAGTTGTGGCCCTCCCTGCACCTTGTGTGGCCAGTTGTGGCCCTCCCTGCACCTTGTGTGGCCAGTTGTGGCCCTCCCTGCACCTTGTGTGGCCTGTTGTGGCCCTCCCTGCACCTTGTGTGACCAGTTGTGGCCCTCCCTGCACCTTGTGTGGCCAGTTGTGGCCCTCCCTGCACCTTGTGTGGCCTGTTGTGGCCCTCCCTGCACCTTGTGTGACCAGTTGTGGCCCTCCCTGCACCTTGTGTGGCCAGTTGTGGCCCTCCCTGCACCTTGTGTGGCCAGTTGTGGCCCTCCCTGCACCTTGTGTGGCCTGTTGTGGCTCTCCCTGCACCTTGTGTGGCCTGTTGTGGCCCTCCCTGCACCTTGTGTGGCCAGTTGTGGCCCTCCCTGCACCTTGTGTGGCCAGTTGTGGCCCTCCCTGCACCTTGTGTGGCCAGTTGTGGCCCTCCCTGCACCTTGTGTGGCCAGTTGTGGCCCTCCCTGCACCTTGTGTGGCCAGTTGTGGCCCTCCCTTCACCTTGTGTGGCCTGTTGTGGCCCTCCCTGCACCTTGTGTGGCCAGTTGTGGCCCTCCCTGCACCTTGTGTGGCCTGTTGTGGCCCTCCCTGCACCTTGTGTGGCCAGTTGTGGCCTTCCCTGCACCTTGTGTGGCCTGTTGTGGCCCTCCCTGCACCATGTGTGGCCAGTTGTGGCCCTCCCTGCACCTTGTGTGGCCTGTTGTGGCCCTCCCTGCACCTTGTGTGGCCTGTTGTGGCCCTCCCTGCACCTTGTGTGGCCAGTTGTGGCCCCCTGCACCTTGTGTGGCCAGTTGTGGCCCTCCCTGCACCTTGTGTGGCCAGTTGTGGCCCTCCCTGTGTGGCACCTTGTGTGGCCAGTTGTGGCCCTCCCTGCACCTTGTGTGGCCAGTTGTGGCCCTCCCTGCACCTTGTGTGGCCAGTTGTGGCCCTCCCTGCACCTTGTGTGGCCTGTTGTGGCCCTCCCTGCACCTTGTGTGGCCAGTTGTGGCCCTCCCTGCACCTTGTGTGGCCAGTTGTGGCCTTCCCTGCACCTTGTGTGGCCAGTTGTGGCCCTCCCTGCACCTTGTGTGGCCAGTTGTGGCCCTCCCTGCACCTTGTGTGGCCACCTTGTTGTGGCCCTCCCTGCACCTTGTGTGGCCTGTTGTGGCCCTCCCTGCACCTTGTGTGGCCAGTTGTGGCCCTCCCTGCACCTTGTGTGGCCAGTTGTGGCCCTCCCTGCACCTTGTGTGGCCTGTTGTGGCCCTCCCTGCACCTTGTGTGGCCAGTTGTGGCCCTCCTGCACCATGTGTGGCCTGTTGTGGCCCTCCCTGCACCTTGTGTGGCCCCAGTTGTGGCCCTCCTGCACCTTGCACCCTCCCTGTGTGGCCAGTTGTGGCCCTCCCTGCACCTTGTGTGGCCAGTTGTGGCACCTTGTGTGGCCCTCCCTGCACCTTGTGTGGCCAGTTGTGGCCCTCCCTGCACCATGTGTGTGGCCCTCCCTGCACCTTGTGTGGCCAGTTGTGGCCCTCCCTGCACCTTGTGTGGCCACCTCCCTGCACCTTGTGTGGCCAGTTGTGGCCCTCCCTGCACCTTGTGTGGCCAGTTGTGGCCCTCCCTGCACCTTGTGTGGCCTGTTGTGGCCCTCCCTGCACCTTGTGTGGCCAGTTGTGGCCCTCCCTGCACCTTGTGTGGCCAGTTGTGGCCCTCCCTGCACCTTGTGTGGCCAGTTGTGGCCCTCCCTGCACCTTGTGTGGCCAGTTGTGGCCCTCCCTGCACCATGTGTGGCCAGTGTGGCCCTCCCTGCACCTTGTGTGGCCCCCTCCCTGCACCTTGTGTGGCCAGTTGTGGCCCTCCCTGCACCTTGTGTGGCCTGTTGTGGCCCTCCCTGCACCTTGTGTGGCCAGTTGTGGCCCTCCCTGCACCTTGTGTGGCCAGTTGTGGCCCTCCCTGCACCTTGTGTGGCCTGTTGTGGCCCTCCCTGCACCTTGTGTGGCCAGTTGTGGCCCTCCCTGCACCTTGTGTGGCCTGTTGTGGCCCTCCCTGCACCTTGTGTGGCCAGTTGTGGCCCTCCCTGCACCTTGTGTGGCCAGTTGTGGCCCTCCCTGCACCTTGTGTGGCCAGTTGTGGCCCTCCCTGCACCTTGTGTGGCCAGTTGTGGCCCTCCCTGCACCTTGTGTGGCCAGTTGTGGCCCTCCCTGCACCTTGTGTGGCCGGTTGCCCTCCCTGCACCTTGTGTGGCCAGTTGTGGCCCTCCCTGCACCTTGTGTGGCCAGTTGTGGCCCTCCCTGCACCTTGTGTGGCCAGTTGTGGCCCTCCCTGCACCTTGTGTGGCCAGTTGTGGCCCTCCCTGCACCTTGTGTGGCCAGTTGTGGCCCTCCCTGCACCTTGTGTGGCCAGTTGTGGCCCTCCCTGCACCTTGTGTGGCCAGTTGTGGCCCTCCCTGCACCTTGTGTGGCCAGTTGTGGCCCTCCCTGCACCTTGTGTGGCTTGTTGTGGCCCTCCCTGCACCTTGTGTGGCCAGTTGTGGCCCTCCCTGCACCTTGTGTGGCCAGTTGTGGCCCTCCCTGCACCTTGTGTGGCCAGTTGTGGCCCTCCCTGCACCTTGTGTGGCCAGTTGTGGCCCTCCCTGCACCTTGTGTGGCCACCTTGTTGTGGCCCTCCCTGCACCTTGTGTGGCCAGTTGTGGCCCTCCCTGCACCTTGTGTGGCCAGTTGTGGCCCTCCCTGCACCTTGTGTGGCCAGTTGTGGCCCTCCCTGCACCTTGTGTGGCCAGTTGTGGCCATCCCTGCACCTTGTGTGGCCAGTTGTGGCCCTCCCTGCACCTTGTGTGGCTTGTTGTGGCCCTCCCTGCACCTTGTGTGGCCAGTTGTGGCCCTCCCTGCACCTTGTGTGGCCAGTTGTGGCCCTCCCTGCACCTTGTGTGGCCCGTTGTGGCCCTCCCTGCACCTTGTGTGGCCAGTTGTGGCCCTCCCTGCACCTTGTGTGGCCAGTTGTGGCCCTCCCTGCACCTTGTGTGGCCAGTTGTGGCCCTCCCTGCACCTTGTGTGGCCAGTTGTGGCCCTCCCTGCACCTTGTGTGGCCAGTTGTGGCCCTCCCTGCACCTTGTGTGGCCAGTTGTGGCCCTCCCTGCACCTTGTGTGGCCAGTTGTGGCCCTCCCTGCACCTTGTGTGGCCAGTTGTGGCCCTCCCTGCACCTTGTGTGGCCAGTTGTGGCCCTCCCTGCACCTTGTGTGGCCAGTTGTGGCCCTCCCTGCACCTTGTGTGGCTTGTTGTGGCCCTCCCTGCACCTTGTGTGGCTTGTTGTGGCCCTCCCTGCACCTTGTGTGGCCAGTTGTGGCCCTCCCTGCACCTTGTGTGGCCAGTTGTGGCCCTCCCTGCACCTTGTGTGGCCAGTTGTGGCCCTCCCTGCACCTTGTGTGGCCAGTTGTGGCCCTCCCTGCACCTTGTGTGGCTTGTTGTGGCCCTCCCTGCACCTTGTGTGGCCAGTTGTGGCCCTCCCTGCACCTTGTGTGGCCAGTTGTGGCCCTCCCTGCACCTTGTGTGGCCAGTTGTGGCCCTCCCTGCACCTTGTGTGGCCAGTTGTGGCCCTCCCTGCACCTTGTGTGGCTTGTTGTGGCCCTCCCTGCACCTTGTGTGGCCAGTTGTGGTGGCCAGTTGTGGCCCTCCCTGCACCTTGTGTGGCCAGTTGTGGCCCTCCCTGCACCTTGTGTGGCCAGTTGTGGCCCTCCCTGCACCTTGTGTCGCCAGTTGTGGCCCTCCCTGCACCTTGTGTGGCCAGTTGTGGTCCCCTGCACCTTGTGTGGCCAGTTGTGGTCCCCTGCACCTTGTGTGGCCTGTTGTGGCCCTCCCTGCACCTTGTGTGGCCTGTTGTGGCCCTCCCTGCACCTTGTGTGGCCAGTTGTGGTCCCCTGCATCTTGTGTGGCCAGTTGTGGCCCTCCCTGCATCTTGTGCTCTCCCAGCTTAAGAGTGTTTTGGGAGCTCAGAGCAGAGAACATTGAACTCTCAGGAGCTCAGAGCAGAGAACATGAACTCTCAGGAGCTCAGAGCAGAGAACATTGAACTCTCAGAAGCTCAGAGCAGAGAACATTGAACTCTCAGGAGCTCAGAGCAGAGAACATAAACTCTCAGGAGCTCAGAGCAGAGGACATGAGGACATTGAACTCTCAGGAGCTCAGAGCAGAGGACATGAGGACATTGAACTCTCAGGAGCTCAGAGCAGAGAACATTGAACTCTCAGGAGCTCAGAGCAGAGAACATGAACTCTCAGGAGCTCAGAGCAGAGAACATTGAACTCTCATGAGCTCAGAGCAGAGAACATTGAACTCTCAGGAGCTCAGAGCAGAGAACATTAAACTCTCAGGAGCTCAGAGCAGAGAACATTGAACTCTCAGGAGCTCAGAGCAGAGAACATTGAACTCTCGGGAGCTCAGAGCAGAGAACATTGAACTCTCAGGAGCTCAGAGCAGAGATCATTGAACTCTCAGGAGCTCAGAGCAGAGAACATGAACTCTCAGGAGCTCAGAGCAGAGAACATTAAACTCTCAGGAGCTCAGAGCAGAGAACATGAACTCTCAGGAGCTCAGCGCAGAGAACATGAACTCTCAGGAGCTCAGAGCAGAGAACATGAACTCTCAGGAGCTCAGCGCAGAGAACATGAACTCTCAGGAGCTCAGCGCAGAGAACATGAACTCTCAGGAGCTCAGAGCAGAGAACATGAACTCTCAGGAGCTCAGCGCAGAGAACATGAACTCTCAGGAGCTCAGAGCAGAGGACATGAACTCTCAGGAGCTCAGAGCAGAGAACATGAACTCTCAGGAGCTCAGAGCAGAGAACATGAACTCTCAGGAGCTCAGCGCAGAGAACATGAACTCTCAGGAGCTCAGCGCAGAGAACATGAACTCTCAGGAGCTCAGCGCAGAGAACATGAACTCTCAGGAGCTCAGCGCAGAGAACATGAACTCTCAGGAGCTCAGCGCAGAGAACATGAACTCTCAGGAGCTCAGAGCAGAGAACATAAACTCTCAGGAGCTCAGCGCAGAGAACATGAACTCTCAGGAGCTCAGCGCAGAGAACATGAACTCTCAGGAGCTCAGCGCAGAGAACATGAACTCTCAGGAGCTCAGAGCAGAGAACATAAACTCTCAGGAGCTCAGCGCAGAGAACATGAACTCTCAGGAGCTCAGCGCAGAGAACATGAACTCTCAGGAGCTCAGCGCAGAGAACATGAACTCTCAGGAGCTCAGAGCAGAGAACATGAACTCTCAGGAGCTCAGAGCAGAGAACATAAACTCTCAGGAGCTCAGAGCAGAGAACATGAACTCTCAGGAGCTCAGAGCAGAGAACATTAAACTCTCAGGAGCTCAGAGCAGAGAACATGAACTCTCAGGAGCTCAGAGCAGAGAACATGAACTCTCAGGAGCTCAGAGCAGAGAACATGAACTCTCAGGAGTTTTAAGTTTTGAGCGAATAATTTAACATTAGAAAATCTTCAGTGTAGTGCTTTAAATGTTGTTGTAGGACTTTAATAATATAAATTTTGTGCTTAAACCAAACCGCAACCAATCATTTACAGTGACAACCAATCATTTACAGTGGCAACCAATCATTTACAGTGACAACCAATCATTTACAGTGGCAACCAATCATTTACAGTGACAACCAATCATTTACAGTGGCAACCAATCATTTACAGTGACAACCAATCACTTACAGTGGCAACCAATCATTTATAGTGGCAACCAATCATTTACAGTGGCAACCAATCATTTACAGTGACAACCAATCATTTACAGTGACAACCAATCATTTACAGTGGCAACCAATCATTTACAGTGGCAACCAATCATTTACAGTGGCAACCAATCATTTACAGTGGCAACCAATCATTTACAATGGCAACCAATCATTTACAGTGGCAACCAATCATTTACAGTGGCAAACAATCATTTACAGTGGCAACCAATCATTTACAGTGGCAACCAATCATTTACAGTGGCAACCAATCATTTACAGTGGCAACCAATCATTTACAGTGGCAACCAATCATTTACAGTGGCAACCAATCATTTACAGTGGCAACCAATCATTTACAGTGGCAACCAATCATTTACAGTGCCAACCAATCATTTACAGTGGCAACCAATCATTTACAGTGGCAACCAATCATTTACAGTGGCAACCAATCATTTACAGTGGCAACCAATCATTTACAGTGGCAACCAATCATTTACAGTGGCAACCAATCATTTACAGTGACAACCAATCATTTACAGTGGCAACCAATCATTTACAGTGGCAACCAATCATTTACAGTGGCAACCAATCATTTACAGTGACAACCAATCATTTACAGTGGCAACCAATCATTTATAGTGACAACCAATCATTTATAGTGACAACCAATCATTTACAGTGGCAACCAATCATTTATAGTGACAACCAATCATTTACAGTGGCAACCAATCATTTACAGTGGCAACCAATCATTTACAGTGACAACCAATCATTTACACTGGCACTAACAATCAATCATTTACAGTGGCAACCAATCATTTACAGTGGCAACCAATCATTTACAGTGACAACCAATCATTTACAGTGGCAACCAATCATTTACAGTGGCAACCAATCATTTACAGTGGCAACCAATCATTTACAGTGGCAACCAATCATTTACAGTGGTAACCAATCATTTACAGTGGCAACCAATCATTTACAGTGACAACCAATCATTTACAGTGGCAACCAATCATTTACAGTGACAACCAATCATTTACAGTGATAACCAATCATTTACACTGGCACTAACAATCAATCATTTACAGTGACAACCAATTATATATAGTGACAACCAATCATTTAGTGGCAACCATTAATTTACAGTGATAGCCAATAATTTACAGTGACATCCAATCATTTACAGTCACAACCAATCGTTTACAGTGACAATCATTTACAGTGACATCCAATCATTTACAGTCACAACCAATCGTTTACAGTGACAATCATTTACAGTGACTTCCAATCATTTACAGTCACAACCAATCGTTTACAGTGACAATCATTTACAGTGACTTCCAATCATTTACAGTCACAACCAATCGTTTACAGTGACAATCATTTACAGTGACTTCCAATCATTTACAGTCACAACCAATCGTTTACAGTGACAATCATTTACAGTGACTTCCAATCATTTACAGTGACGGGAATCATTGCTAGTGTGGATATTTTCAGCGGAAGGTTGAGCAACTTTGTGATTCAGATTTGGAAATTCAACATGATGTTGAGCCTGGCAGGTGTTGTGGCTACACCCTGGCAGGTGTTGAGGCTACACCCTGGCAGGTGTTGTGGCTACACCCTGGCAGGTGTTTTGGCTACACCCTGGCAGGTGTTGGGGCTACACCCTGGCAGGTGTTGGGGCTACACCCTGGCAGGTGTTGGGGCTACACCCTGGCAGGTGTTGGGGCTACACCCTGGCAGGTGTTGGGGCTACACCCTGGCAGGTGTTGGGACTACACCCTGGCAGGTGTTGAGGCTACACCCTGGCAGCTGTTGGGGCAACACCCTGGCAGGTGTTGAGGCTACACCCTGGCAGGTGTTGTGGCTACACCCTGGCAGGTGTTGAGGCTACACCCTGCTAGGTGTTGGGGCTACACCCTGGCAGGTGTTGAGGCTACACCCTGGCAGGTGTTGTGGCTACACCCTGGCAGGTGTTGGGGCTACACCCTGGCAGGTGTTGGGACTACACCCTGGCAGGTGTTGAGGCTACACCCTGGCAGCTGTTGGGGCAACACCCTGGCAGGTGTTGAGGCTACACCCTGGCAGGTGTTGTGGCTACACCCTGGCAGGTGTTGAGGCTACACCCTGCTAGGTGTTGGGGCTACACCCTGGCAGGTGTTGAGGCTACACCCTGGCAGGTGTTGTGGCTACACCCTGGCAGGTGTTGGGGCTACACCCTGGCAGGTGTTGGGGCTACACCCTGGCAGGTGTTGAGGCTACACCCTGCCAGGTGTTGGGGCTACACCCTGGCAGGTGTTGAGGCTACACCCTGGCAGGTGTTGTGGCTACACCCTGGCAGGTGTTGGGGCTACACCCTGGCAGGTGTTGGGGCTACACCCTGGCAGGTGTTGAGGCTACACCCTGGCAGGTGTTGGGGCTACATCCTGGCAGGTGTTGTGGCTACACCCTGGCAGGTGTTGTGGCCACACCCTGGCATGTGTTGTGGCTACACCCTGGCAGGTGTTGTGGCTACACCCTGGCAGGTGTTGTGGCTACACCCTGGTAGGTGTTGTGGCTACACCCTGGCAGGTGTTGTGGCTACACCCTGGCAGGTGTTGTGGCTACACCCTGGCAGGTGTTGAGGCTAAACCCTGGCAGGTGTTGTGGCTACACCCTGGTAGGTGTTGTGGCTACACCCTGGCAGGTGTTGTGGCTACACCCTGGCAGGTGTTGTGGCTACACCCTGGCAGGTGTTTTGGCTACACCCTGGCAGGTGTTGAGGCTACACCCTGGCAGGTGTTGTGGCTACACCCTGGCAGGTGTTGAGGCTACACCCTGCCAGGTGTTGGGGCTACACCCTGGCAGGTGTTGAGGCTACACCCTGGCAGGTGTTGTGGCTACACCCTGGCAGGTGTTGAGGCTACACCCTGCCAGGTGTTGGGCTACACCCTGGCAGGTGTTGAGGCTACACCCTGGCAGGTGTTGTGGCTACACCCTGGCAGGTGTTGGGGCTACACCCTGGCAGGTGTTGGGGCTACACCCTGGCAGGTGTTGAGGCTACACCCTGGCAGGTGTTGGGGCTACACCCTGGCAGGTGTTGAGGCTACACCCTGGCAGGTGTTGTGGCTACACCCTGGCAGGTGTTGATGCTACACCCTGGCAGGTGTTGTGGCTACACCCTGGCAGGTGTTGTGGCTACACCCTGGCAGGTGTTGTGGCCACACCCTGGCAGGTGTTGTGGCTACACCCTGGCAGGTGTTGTGGCTACACCCTGGCAGGTGTTGTGGCTACACCCTGGTAGGTGTTGTGGCTACACCCTGGCAGGTGTTGTGGCTACACCCTGGTAGGTGTTGTGGCTACACCCTGGCAGGTGTTGAGGCTACACCCTGGCAGGTGTTGTGGCTACACCCTGGTAGGTGTTGTGGCTACACCCTGGCAGGTGTTGTGGCTACACCCTGGCAGGTGTTGTGGCTACACCCTGGCAGGTGTTGTGGCTACACCCTGGCAGGTGTTGAGGCTACACCCTGGCAGGTGTTGTGGCTACACCCTGGCAGGTGTTGAGGCTTCATCCTGCTAGGTGTTGGTGCTACACCCTGGCAGGTGTTGAGGCTACACCCTGGCAGGTGTTGTGGCTACACCCTGGCAGGTGTTGGGGCTACACCCTGGCAGGAGTTGTGGCTACACCCTGGCAGGTGTTGTGGCTACACCCTGGTAGGTGTTGTGGCTACACCCTGGCAGGTGTTGTGGCTACACCCTGGCAGGTGTTGTGGCTACACCCTGGCAGGTGTTGAGGCTACACCCTGGCAGGTGTTGTGGCTACACCCTGGTAGGTGTTGTGGCTACACCCTGGCAGGTGTTGTGGCTACACCCTGGCAGGTGTTGTGGCTACACCCTGGCAGGTGTTGTGGCTACACCCTGGCAGGTGTTGAGGCTACACCCTGGCAGGTGTTGTGGCTACACCCTGGCAGGTGTTGAGGCTACACCCTGGCAGGTGTTGTGGCTACACCCTGGCAGGTGTTGTGGCTACACCCTGGCAGGTGTTGAGGCTACACCCTGGCAGGTGTTGTGGCTACACCCTGGCAGGTGTTGAGGCTACACCCTGGCAGGTGTTGTGGCTACACCCTGGTAGGTGTTGTGGCTACACCCTGGCAGGTGTTGTGGCTACACCCTGGCAGGTGTTGTGGCTACACCCTGGCAGGTGTTGTGGCTACACCCTGGTAGGTGTTGTGGCTACACCCTGGCAGGTGTTGTGGCTACACCCTGGCAGGTGTTGTGGCTACACCCTGGCAGGTGTTGTGGCTACACCCTGGCAGGTGTTGTGGCTACACCCTGGTAGGTGTTGTGGCTACACCCTGGCAGGTGTTGTGGCTACACCCTGGCAGGTGTTGTGGCTACACCCTGGCAGGTGTTGTGGCTACACCCTGGCAGGTGTTGTGGCTACACCCTGGTAGGTGTTGTGGCTACACCCTGGCAGGTGTTGTGGCTACACCCTGGCAGGTGTTGTGGCTACACCCTGGCAGGTGTTGTGGCTACACCCTGGCAGGTGTTGAGGCTATACCCTGGCAGGTGTTGTGGCTACACCCTGGCAGGTGTTGTGGCTACACCCTGGCAGGTGTTGTGGCTACACCCTGGCAGGTGTTGTGGCTACACCCTGGCAGGTGTTGAGGCTACACCCTGGCAGGTGTTGTGGCTACACCCTGGCAGGTGTTGTGGCTACACCCTGGCAGGTGTTGTGGCTACACCCTGGCAGGTGT